AATCCAACAGTGCCTTCAGTTTTGATATCATGGTTATAATCTTTTTCTTGCAACACCTTCTTCTTTCGTTTTTTGTGGAAAATCATTAACCATACTGCATACTTCATTATCCTTATAGGGATGGAGGATAAGGAAAGTAGAAAAGTGAGTAATTTTGCTTTTTTTGCTTCTGTCTCATTTGCATATGATATTGACTCCTATTGATGCTAATGACGTTAGCAGCATGGTGTGAAGTTGGGAGCAAAAGGTCTTAATAGTACCTATGTACTCAGTTGTACAGGGTAGTATTTTAACACTTTGACTTCCCTAGATATGCAATGCAGGCCCGTCAAGAAATAATTCCTACCCTTAGTTTCTTTACGACATTATATTTGCATATCCTGATGGTTTTTCTTTATTGATTTTCATTCTAGAGCAAACACTAATGATAAATATAGCTATTTTTCGTAGTCTTAATCTGCTTTTTATTGTCATCTATACTTATATAAACTACTACATTGTTCTCATCATTTGGTTGAAAGCTGTTGAAACCTCTTGTGGAATTGCCGGAGAACACGGGATGAAAATATGCATAGTCACTCTACGCTTTTATTGAGTTTTTTAGGTATATCATACATTCAAAGGTCATTGATGTTTGACGGACCTTGTTTTGCATCCATGTGTAGGTTTTCATGATTCTTATATTATGTAAGCGTGTCTGCTCCATAATTCATCGTTGAAAGGTCATTGATATTTGACAGACCTTATTTTGCGTCCACGTGTAGGTTTTGTTTCTTATATTATGTAAGAGTGTTTACTCCACAAGTCATTGTTGCAAAATGGTTTGCATTTTTTGCTTGTGCCTATTGCCATTTTAAGATAACCGCAGCAGTGTTCCTTACTCACTGCCTCCATTTTGTATATGAACATTGAGACTGCTTCTTCACTTGTAGGTAAAAATTGGGCTTCGAGTTCTCACTCGCCCTTTGCCTGACCAATTACCTACGATTTACCGAACTCTTGGGGAGAACTTCAACGAGCGAGTTCTTCCATCAATTATCCATGAAACTTTGAAAGCAGTTGTTGCCCAATACAATGCTAGTCAGCTGATCACACAAAGAGAGGTACGCTTAACTAAAAGTCGGTCTGAAGCATTCAGTAAAATTATTCACATTATTTAAGAATATTTTGTGATTATGTAGGCTGTGAGTAGAGAAATTCGGAAAATTTTGACTGAGAGGGCTAATAACTTCAACATTGCACTCGATGATGTCTCCATTACTACCTTGAGCTTTGGGAAGGAATTCACTCATGCAATTGAAGCTAAACAAGTGGCAGCTCAAGAAGCTGAGAGGGCCAAGTTTATTGTGGAGAAGGCTGAGCAAGACAAGAGAAGTGCTGTTATCCGAGCTCAGGTGAGCATAAGTTAAATAATATTTGCCATATGTCACTACTCTGGATTTCTTCTAGCACTTGTTTATGACCCATGAATCTGTATCATGGAAATGTATCATACTCATGAAATATTATCTTTTCCATAATCATTAGGGTATATAGTCCATAATTATTAGGCTATATTTCATAATATTGACTAATATTTTCACCTTGGTAATATGTTTAAGAGCCTTTTGGCTCCAAATGTGGGTTTTGAATTTCTTAACATTCAAAATTCTTCAAAATCCTAAGATTTTCAAATTCCTTGTTTTTGTTTTGGTTGAATGGAAAAATTGAAAAATTTGATGTGGGCCCACGTTTCCTTCGTCCTGTAGTATGATTCAGGAATTTGCTATGGGCCTGTTTGTTTCACCAAGTTTATGGAATAGGAATGGTATTTGGACCTGACAGTGGCGTTTTCATAATTAATGGAATCCAACTGAATCCTAATCCTGAGTTTGGTTCAAAAAAAATTTATAGAATTGCTATTATATAAAGTGGCTCAAACAGTGGTAATTTCAGGAAACCCAAATCCGTTCTTTTTGAGAGGAATTGGGCGTGATTTCTGACACCTCTCCCAATTCTTATTCCAATTCTTATTCCGATTTCTGACACCTCTCCCAATTTTTTCTGAACCAAACATGGTATTAGGAATTGGACCAATTCTATAAAAGTGAGATTCCTAATCCTTTGGGTGAAACAAACATAGAATGCAAAAAAAAATAGGATTCCATAAAATTAAAACTTGTCTATAAATTTTATATGGATTAGGTTGGAATCCATAAATAAAATAGGATTCCTAATCCTATTCCTAACCTCTATTGAACCAAACAGGCTCTATATGTAATACCAAATCCCATCCACTTTCCTCTGCAATTTTTTCGTTAAATCAAACACAATTTTGTTTGGGGATTCTGGTTATGGTAAGATTCTGGATATCAGACCCATTTTTTTCCATGGTAATAACATCCTGATCCTTTTCTTTTACAGGGAGAAGCTAAGAGTGCACAGCTGATAGGTCAAGCAATTGCGAACAATCCAGCTTTTCTCGCTTTAAGACAGATTGAGGCTGCTCGAGAAGTTGCTCACACAATTTCCAACTCAGCCAACA